AACTGGTCACTATGATGCACACTGACCACCAGTGGGCAGATGCTTAATGCAGGAGCTGCCCCTTGGTGGTCAGTGCACTCCCACAGGGAGAGTGCCACGCAGCCAGAAGCCGGGCTCACAGCTGGCGAGCACAGCAGTGGTGGCAGGAGCCTCTCCATCTCTGCGGCAGTCGGACATCCCCCAAGGGCTCCCAGACTGCGAGAGGGTGCAGGCTGGGCTGAGGTACCCCCTGAGTGCACGAATTTCATGCACCGGGCCTCTAGTTTAACCATAAAGGGAAAAAACTAAGTAAAGCAACTGACAGGGGAAAACAGTTTCTCTTTTGAAGGTGGAAAGAGATATGTGTGTGTTGAATTGTGTGAGAGCAGCTACAATGGAGCACTAAATTTAGTGCCAAGCTTCCTGGAAACCAGGGCACAAAGGGAAACCGGGTGGGGCATGAGATTGTTGTCTGATAAGGTAAGCATACAATTCCATCCGTGGGCATAAGTGCTTTGGGGGCAGTAAATTCTAAGAGGAATATTTATATAAGCAATGCTGAGAATCATAATAGAAAATGCCATCAATTGCTAGTTTGTGGAAATAGTGCTCATGTTCTTTAGAAGGTGGTATTTTCTATAGATTCTCAGTTGGAGCTGAGGGTGTAATAATGGATCTCGACTCATGAAAGTATTTCTGTGGGCCCTGAGCTAATGTGGTCCAGGTAAATTGCTTTGTGGTGATTTCACTTTGTAAAGAAAGAGAGCATAAGTCAGGGAGAGTTAGCCTGTCTTTCTCAAATATGAGCTGCTTCAGCTAGATTTTTGGCAGGTTCTGGGCAGCTGTCAAGCCAAGGTTGAGCATTCTGGTGCATGCCCGAGGCTCCCGTGTTTGTGCTGGGATAGGAGACTGACCCTCACACTTTACTAGCTGAGGAGTCCTTCTCTTCACCTCCTACAATAGAGTCAGGGAACTTGGCTCGTTTCTGGTCCCACATGGATGGTCTTCCCATATTTGAATGGCTGCTTTAAGGATAGAAATGAATAAGGAGAGGCAGCTACTAGCTAATCAATAGAGCTGGCCTGTTCGTTTAGAAACGCGGTAAGTGTCCCCTATGTGTAGGCGCTCGTTTGGTGGTGTGAGCGGTGACTGTAGGTTAGTTTGACCAAACATTTTGTCTTTTTAGTACGAGGCACCGCTCCGAGGAAGTCTTCACACTGCTCCAGAACTGGAACCGAGAGGGTTCCGTGAGATTACGTGTACGAAGTACTTCCTTGGCACAATATATAAAGGTGCATATAAAGTACTGGCATGTTGCAATTGGTCAGCAAGGGGCAGCTTTTAATAATGATGACGATGAGTTGACGAAGCAAATGTTCCACAGCGCCCTCGGGGTCAGGGAAAACACAGCCCCTTTCCTTTTGTGCCTGTCGGCATTGGTGCCCACTGTCATTGTGTTTCTGTCCCTTGCTTCGCTGGACCGGTAGTCAGGCTAAGTCCAGTAAAACCGCCGCCACACATCAAATCGATGAAATAATAAAGTTTACGGGGAATACAAGTGCTTTGGAAGAGCACCCGGCGACCCGAAGAGGCTGTAACTTGGTGGATTAGACGGTAACTAATGCAGTGAGGCCCGAGGAGCTCAGCGGTTGAGTGAGGATTTAGGGTGTATCTATATACAGCATGCTTTCCTTGTGTTATCCTAAGGAGTTTTTGTTTTGAGCAGAGGTGGGTTTGGGTAAGCTGGGACTCTGTTTTTGTGCCTGGCTCTTTCTTTTCCCTTGTTTTAATGACTAGCTGTATGGATCGCCTGCATCTTCATTTTGTCTGCATAAAGGCCCGGTGACCGGAGCTGCCAGCCGTGGGCTGTGCTGTAGGCATAGCTGGTGCTATGGTTTGTACGTGAGTATGAGGAAGCTTTGTGTTTCCTACGCTCTTTCTAATTATACTTAATATTTATTTGCACTTTTTGGTCAGAACTTCACATAGGACTGGCCTTCATGGAAACATTTATAATGAGAACTTTCTTTTTTCTTTGCTGGGTCATACTTAACAGCTTGAACCCTTGCATTGTAAGGTATAGAGTCCTTTTCATTATTTTTGGTTGAGAAAGAAAAATGACACTCTTTTTTCTTGCCTTTGGATCTCGCCTGCATGTTTCTTCCCACTTCCCAAGCTTTCCTGCAGGCGATTCCTGTTTGGAGGGAGGGTTTCGGCGTGCCCTCTGGGGCCTATGCCCAGGGTGCCCTGTGGAATGTTCTTTGTGAGCAGGCGACCCGGGCAGACCGTGCGTTTTGAACAACGGTGTATAATACAGTTCGTAGAGGTTCCTGATGATTAACCCAGTCCCTGCCATCGGCTCATCAGAAAAAGTGTTCCCAGCCTGGAGTCCTCGATCTCCTAGGGAACCTTGTAGAATGTAAACTTGGGAGCTGCCTCCAGTGCCTGAAGAGGTGAAGCACAAGAATGGAGCCTGTTTGCTTTGGGCTGGAATTAAATCAGTGGGGTAACAAGGACGGTCTCCTGCTGGTTAGAAACTCTCTTACTTAATAAATGCATTTCAGTCCCTAGTCTTTCAAACCATAAGATTCCTGGTTGCCCTGTGGTGGGAAATAATAGCGAACCCTTGGTGGTGGCAGGCTGCGAATTGTTGTTCTGGGCGGTGTTCCTGCTGGGCAGAGCCGAGGCCTCCTCAGTGGTGACCTGGAGCTGGGTGCCAGGCAGGGAACGGTTCATTGCATTCATTTTTTATGTATGGGTTTTCTTCCATAATAGCATTTGAACATAAGGTTACAGCTGCTAAAATAAAGCAAGCAAAAGCCTGTACTTTACCACAATGGCCTGTCCTATATAAGCTATAAGCTGAATTCAAGAGTACTAGTTTCTTCCTCTATAGGAGCCAAGACAGCCCTGGCCAGGGCTCAGTGGTTAGAGCGCCGGCCCATTCACCAAGGTTCCCAGGTTCGATTTTGATCAAGGGCACATACCTGGGTTGCGGGTTCCTCGCCCCGGTTGGGGCTCATGGGGGAGGCAACCAATTGATGTGTCTCTCTCACATTGATGTTTCTCTCTCTCTCTCTCTCTCTCTCTCTCTCTTCTCTCCCCTTCCCCCTGCCTTCCACTCTCTCTAAAATCAATGGGGGGAAATATCCTCCAGTGAGGATTAACAACAACAAAAAATGTGTTTATCTCTGTCAGTTCCACATGATCTAGATCTATTTACCAAAATGTAATAGACATGATTTGTATCTAGATACAGCCCCTCCCCCCCTCCCCCAGGAGTCTTGAAACGTTTTTTTTTATTTGTGTTTTTTTTTCCATTTTAGCTTCTGGAAGTATGGAAGAGCTAAACAACTCCACTGCTCCTCAAAGCCCCTCGGTCAGCTGGGCAAAGAGTGTGCAGGTTGCCACGACGTTCCCCAATGGTGTCCCAAGGGAGACCCAGTCTGTAGCTGTCAGTGTGGGATGGCTAAACGAGACAGAAGGTTTCTCTGAGGACGCTGAAGTTGCCCCAACGTCAGCTTCAGTTCATTCTTCACCATCTGAGGCAGAATTGAGGAGAAACACCGGAATAACCAGGAGTCTAGGGGATGGGAAATTCAGTGAGTCATCCACAGAAAATGGGTTTGGCCTTACATCTTCTGAGGTCGCAGTGGGATTTTGGCAAAATGATTCCCCAGGTAAGTATTCAATTTTGCTTGATCTATTATAGACATTTAGAAATTGTTGGTGCATCACCCCACCATCAAAAGGTTTCTAGTTCAATTTCCGGTCAGGGCACATATCTAGGGAAGTGTACGGCAGGCAACCAATCAATGTTTCTCTCTCTCTCTCTCTCTCTCTCTCTCTCTCTCTATCTCCCCTCCCCCCCTCCTGCCCCCACCCCCTTTCTTCACTCTGTGAAATTGATGGAAAGATATCCTTGGGTGAGGATTAAAAAAAAATACATTGTTGGATTTTCTTACGGGATGGCTTCCAGGCCTTCTATGGCACATAGTATATCATATTTACGCTAGTTTATCATGTTATCACACTGTGATTTGCACCTTATGAAACAGTGTGAAGTGTGTCCAGCAGGCATTCCTCCTGCATTTCTGTAGATGACGAAACCAAGGGTCAGGGGTTTAGGCAGAGCTGCAACCTCAGCCTCGGACCCTTCACTGCTGAGTGGATCTTGTCACTGCAGCATTGTCTCCAAATGAGAGGTGGCCCCTTTAAAACTGGTTTGACTTACTCTATGGATCATCGTCAGGACACACGGTGCAGATATAACTATATTCCCCAAATTCCTACGGCAAAATTGGAAAAATCTGTATGAATAATAGGACTGTTTTAGGAAAAGGGTTCTGCCCGAGCCCTGTGTTGAGGTGTGTTGTATTTATTGGGCATAATGTCCTCTCTCCCTTGACCCCCTTCGGGGAAAGAGAATATAGTACTCAAGCCTACAGGCCCTTCTGCCGCTTTGCACATGCAGGTTAAGAGCTCCCCTCTTCATCACGTTTATTTTCAGTGTTGCTATCTTATTGACATGGAAGAGCTTTGAATTAATTATTTAGAAAATGAAAATGCATGTCAGGTTACACACATAATAAATTCTATGCAAGATCCTCCTCAAGGGAACGTTCCTTAGAGGGGACTCACATCTCAGTGGTGGAGGGTCTCTTTCACATCCATGTAACGGCATTTCCCCTGACACCTTGCAGTCCCGGAAGGACCCCCGCAGGCCAGCGGCTCTGATAAGAAGAATGGGAGCCCCATGTCTCGGACCGAGTCTGTGGCTGGGTCAGTCCCGTTGGGTGGAGCTGGAGAGAGCACTGCACACTGGATCTTGACCAACAGCAAGACATTTGAAGATGTGACAGGAAGCTCTACTTCCTACCCTGGAGTTGTGAACTCTTCCGTTCTGACCCAGTTCTCAGCCTCTGCCCCACAGCCGAGAGGAAGTGACACCGTGCTGGGGGGAGGGAGCGACGCCGAGCTGGCCACCGAGTCTTCGTCTTCCTCCTCCTCAGAAAGCCTGGAGTCCTCAGCACCGCGCGGTGAACGCTCGAGTGAGTTCCCCTGCGCACACTTGGCCCCGTGGAGGGGACAGGGCTTGCCAGGCCTGTGGTCTTCTGCAGCACCGCAAGGCCACACGCTAGTGAAACAGCTCCACAGTCTCCTCTGGTGTCAGTGGTCCCAGGCCCCTCCTCCAGCTGGTGAATACAGATACACCTGCATGGCCCCCAGTTTTTCCTGGTACATCTCCACAGAGTTGCTATTGCCACCTGCCCCTCCCACAGGGAGCCCAGGGACCTCCCTGTCCACATCCTTCCACTCCCTGTAGCCCACCTCACACCCTCATACCTGCCTCAGTCCCACGGTTCACCCCCTATCCAGGCACTCATCAAGGGAAACTCTCTTTTGTAATCGATTTAGTGAGATATAATTCACATTCTACACAATTCTCCCATTGAAAGTGTACAGTTCAGTAGTTTTTAGTATATGCACAAAGTTGTGGAACCGTCACTACTATCTACTTCCAGAAGACTTTCCATCACCTCAGAAAGGAACCCGGTGCCAGAGGTCACTCCCCATTCTCTCCTCCTTTTAGCCTCTGGCAACCACTAATTTATTTTCTGTCTCCATGGATTTTCCTATTCTAGACATTTTCTACCAGTGGAATCATGGAATCATATGATATGTAGCCTTTTGTGTTCTTCACTCAGCATAATGTTTTCAAGGTCCATCTGTGTTGTAGCGTGTGCCAGTACTCCATTCCTTGTTATGGCTAAATGATAGTCCTCTGTATGGGTGTACCACGTTTTGTTTATCTTTTTATCAGTTGATAGATGTGTAGGTTTTTAAAAAATCCTTTGGCTATTATGAATAATACTGTTGCGAACATCCTAGTGCTAATTTTTGTGTGGACTTGTGTTTTCAGTTCTCTTGGATTGTGGGTTAAATAGTAACTCTATTTAACCTTTAGAAGAACTGTCCATCTCTTTTCCAAAGTGGCTACCCCACTTTATCTTCCTGCCAGCAATGTGCAAGGGTTCAGTTTCAGCATCTTTACCAACACTTGTTATAGCCCATCTTTTTTTGACTATCGCCATCCTGATGGGTGTGCTGTGGTATCTCATTGTGGGTTTGACTTGCATTTTCCAGCTGAGCATCCTTTCATGTGCTCATTGGCCATTTGTATATCTTCTTTGGAAATGTGCATTCAGATCTTTTGGCTATTTTTAAATTGGGTTATTTGTCCTTTTTTGAGGTATAGGAGTTATTTGTGTATTCTGGCTGCCAGTCCCTTATCAGATACACTAGAGGCCTAGTGAATGAAATTCGTGCACTCAGGGGGGTCCCTCAGCCTGGCCTGTGCCCTCTTGCAGTCTGGGAGCCCTCAGGGGATGTCTGACTGAAGGCTTAGGCCCCCCTAAGCTGGCAGTCAGACATCCTTAGCGCTGCAGCTGACACAGGAGAGGCTCCCGCGACCACTGCAGTGTTCGCCAGCCTGTGAGCCCGGCTTCTGGCTGAGTGGCGCTCCCCCTGTGGGAGCACACTGACCACCAGGGAGCAGCTCCTGCATTGATTGTCTGCTCCCTAGTGGTCAGTGCGTGTCATAGCGACTGGTTGTTTGGCCATTTGGTCAATTTGCATATTAGCCTTTTATTATATAGGATGATTTGCAGGCATTTTCTCCCTTTCTTTGGGTCATCATTTCACTTCCTATGGCATTATTTGCAGCCCAACAGTTCTTAATTTTGATGAAGTCCAATTTATCAATGTGAGAAAACTTTTCTTTTCATTTTCCTTCCTAATAATGTTTTTGGGTAATTTTTAAAAACTATTACCAGCAGCCTTATCCATGTGAATTGTATGCTGACTAAAGCAAAAATGCATTAACTTATCATTTAAATTTATAATAGGTTTAAAGTCTTACCTCCTCACCACCAATAATAAATAACATCTCCATTTGCCCCATCCTAATTGATGAGGAAAATTAGCATGTGGTAACTACTCATGTGATGTGATGTGAGAAAACACATATGGGTGGAGGATCCCCGTGTGCCCTTTTATGTCTGTGCATGGAAAATGCATTCTCTGTCTCCTGAACCAAGGAATCATTTTCCAACCTCACCACTGTGGGGCTCAGACTTGTCCCCCTTCAAACCAGGAGCTTGTCCCTCTTCAAACCTGCAGCCTTTCCTTCCCCTTCCCTTTCCTTCCCCTTTCCTTCCCCTTCAGGACCCTTTGCTCTGCAGCGCTTGCTCAGCTGGTCCTCGTAGACAGTGGGGCAGGTCTTGGGGTTGGTTATAAAGTGCTGGACACGGAATAGCCTCGTTCCTGAAACCGCTCCCCTGCGGTTGACACGGTGCCTTATCTCGTTTCCTCTGATCGCCCGAGCTGACTCTGCCAGCCAGCCTTTCTGAGCTCTCCAGCTTCCTTTCTGGGTTCAGATGGAGCCCCTGTTCCAGGTCATGACTCCACGGGGGTGTCCGTCAGCCTGATGGGGCTGTTTGCCTGATGTTTGTCTAACAGGTCTTTTCCGTCTCCCCACCCCAGGCCCTGTCTTCTTTACCTTGGGAACTTGTGCTCCAATCCGCTCAGCTCTCCAGCCTCCCCGGCAGGTCTTCCATGGGTCCCCTAAGCCCTTCAGTCCGAGTCAGGCAACCTCCTCCCCTGGTTCCTGGCTCCTGGGTGCTGCTCCAGGCCCTGTGCACCCCTGTCCCCCACTCACTCCTGTCTCTCAGTGAAGGCAGACCTCTCGCGAGGTGAACCTACCTAACCCTCAGCTTTACCTTCGTTTTCCATTGGGGTGTGTCCATGGGGCAGCAAGAGCTAGTCTGGTCTGGGAATAAAAATAAGAACCAGGAGAAGAGCCTGTTTTCTCTCATAGAGCCAGATTATGGAGTAGTTAGGCCAAGAAAAACTGAGCCTCACTTCCATGCCCAAAAAAGGAAGAAAGGGATATTTATTCACGCATCACCTGTCCCTATTCCATCCCCACCAAGAAAATAAAACAAATGCATTCAAAACACACACACACACACACACACACACACACACACACACACACACACCAATCCTACCTTTAACCTTTGATCACAATACCATTTCTCATGGATGTGTCAGGTCATGCCTCGCTGGTCCTACAGGAGGTGAGAGCCTTCGGGGTCATGTGGGCTCCCTGCTCGGTCTCATCAGAAGGTGTAAAGCCCCAGTAGGATTGTTAGTCTTTTGCCCACTGTTCACCTCCCCCGCAGCCACCACCCATGTCCCTGACACAAACTCTGTTTATTATGTATCGCCCAGCAAAACACAATATTGATCCTGTTCACTTAAGTACCAAACCTTCCCATGAGTCCAGGTCTCCTGCACATGCTGACCCGCAGCGCCTCCCGCGTGTCCGTCACTGACAGGCGTCTGCAGGAACACCGCACGCCCGGCTTTCTCAGATAAAGACCCCGAGGAAACCCAGGGGAGCATTCGGGCTAACGTGGTCCAGGAAGCGAGGCTTATTCCTGAGACTCAAGTCCATGCCCTTGTTGTCTCCCCTGCATTGACTCCCGCCCCCCTGCACTGACTGTCATCCCCTTTGCAATCTTCTTTTTTTTTTAAAAAAAAAAAATTTCCTTTTTATTGAATTTATTGGGGGTGACACTGATTAACAAAAGTATACAGGTTTCAGGTGCACAATTTCACAACACATCTTCTGTACACTCACTGTATTGTGTGTTCCCCACCCCAAGTCAAAGTCTCTGTCCATCGCCATTTATCTCCCCTATGCCCTTCTTCACTTCCTCCCACGCGCTTCCTCCCGGCAATCGGCGATCACCACAGTGCTGTCCGGGTCCATGAGTTCTTCTGTTTTGCTCAACATCCCTTCGTTTCCCCCACAGCTGTTAGCCTGCTCTCTATCTGTGTCTGTCTCTATTTTGCAATTACAGTGGGGCCTTGACTTACGAGTTTAATTCGTTCTGTGACGGAGCTCGTAACTTAAATTACTCGTATGTCAAATCAAAAGTGAACGAGTGAGACACGTGATGCTGGGCTGATGTTGTGGCGTTCACTGTGACGTTC